GGCAATGAGATGACTTTTTATTTTTCTATTACACGTTTTGCAAATTACACATCTCAATATCGGCGGTATATTAATGAGAAGAATTTCAGAAACATCTAAATGAACTATTTCGTTACAATTCTAATCTCTGGTATTTTGTTCGAAAAATTATTTAAAGGAAAGAAAAAGATAAGAAAAAAAAAATTGCTTTAATCAATAAATCCTACATTTTTACTAAATACGTATTTACGTAAACGGGTACATACGTGCGCACCATTACCGGCAAAACACGACTTTCTTGTGTCAGTCGACGAAATTTCTGAAATTTCAAAACGAAATTTAAACTCCCCAATCTCAAGAAGCATTATAAAAAAAAAAATTTTCCAGCAGAACAGCAAATGGCAATGTTCGCATACTCCGTCATCTTTATGGCTCAGCCGTTTTATCCTATTCTCGCTCGCGTCGCTCTAATTCTTCGCCAGTCCGTCTCCATCACTATCACTAGCGCCAGCTAAAGTATCCTCGTTGCCCATCCGATACAGCAGCCTCGCGACATCGATCCGCTCCTCGATCCCATCTACCTACCGTCAAAATCAGCGACCGTAGCGTCTGACCAAAGCCCGACACCTTCCACTCTTGCGCGCGCGTTTTTCGCGTGCGTGTTCCAGCGGCCGGCCAATTCGTTTGGCGCGCGCTATCTACCGTTCGCGCCGTTGTCTCGGATTGCCCCGCCCTCTCAGGAACGTGTCAAGGGTCGAAGAGAGTTATAGTCGGCGCTAGTCGGTCGACGATAGCGAGAAACATATCGCGCAACGGCTCGGCTTTTGTTAACGCTGCCTGCCACTGAAAATGAGAATGCCGGTGTACCCGGCGAATAAATTATAGGCTTTTTCCGGCCGACGTCCTATCGCGAGTATATACGTGCGTGCTTATACTCGCGTGTGTATGAGCGCTTTATATGCCGCGCGTATATGTAGTGCGCGCGTGTTGTATGCGTTATGCGCGGAGAAAAATCCGTTGATTTAAAATGCCCTGTCGTTATTTTGCTTACTGGTTGGAGTGTAAATCCCTGGATTTGTGGCGGATAGTCACTCGTTATTTCAGTTATGATTGCGTTTCTCCATTCCAGTACAACGAAATATATTACATCGTTAATGGGTCGTACGATTAACTTGTAAATTCTGCGTGTCACAAGTGTCAAAGTGTGAACGATTATTTTATTTATTGAACTACAGACTATCGGTTTTCAGACACACACCCACGCACACTCACAAACACTTTATCTCTCTCTCTCTCTCTCTCTCTCTCTCTCTCTCTCTCTCACTTTATGCACTGTCTATTGAATATGAATACCTATATATATATATATATATATATATGTGTACAGACTTGTTGGAATAATATTCGTCACTCCATTATTTACTCGTCAACGAAAAGATAATAAATTCTTAAAGACTTTATCGTTCACTAGAGGCTATCTCCTGCAATTTTAAATAAAGAATATCAAGGGATTCTTTTTTTTTTTTTTTTTTGCAATAAAAACAAAAGTTTCTCCATAATAATGCTATTTTTTATTTGAAATTTCCATTTTACGCTAAAGTCGAGCATAAAATTAGTAAAGTAAGAAATATCTATTCTTATATTTACCACATTGCTCTTATGGAAATTAGAATAAAAGAGAAGATAGTAGAGTAACTTCGTGAACCACCATTACGCATAAAGAAGGATTCATTACTCGCCTTTTGTCGAATATACTGCCAAACTTACAATTAAGAAATGATTTTTCCTTCTCTGAATACATAAAAATGTAACAAACGGACACGATATATTTTATAATTTTGCGCCCTCACCTCGAAATTTCAAAGGACGAAAAGCCGTGGCTCGTTGCGGCTGGTTCGACGATTCGTCCGACCGGCTTTTCAGTAAGCCCGAGGAAAACTCAAACGCGAAAAAAAAATAAAAATAATGCTTCTTTTAGCCCTGCAGCTGCTTTTACAGTTCGGTTCAACACCATGATCCCGCGGCGATTTATTTAACTTCTCCGCTCCTACTTCCTTCGTGGCATATATTCACTCGCTCAAGTACTCGACCGTTTTGCTGCCTTGCTTTTATATTTCTCCGGTTCACGCTCCAATCTTTTTATCTCACTCACTTTTTGTCTCGCTTGCTATTTTTTTCTTTACCGGTTCATCTCGTTCACGAGCGAATTATTTACTCGACTAAGCGCGTGCGGCGCTATGGAGCTTCGATTTTACTCGACGAGAGGTGCGGATTCGACAGAGAGAAAAATGAATGCGATAAAGAGTTTTCGCGTTTCGCTCAACATATCCCCTCTCCTCCCCCTCTATACGTACACCGGCACCAACATAACCATCTACCCATCCACCGGTCACCCTCTCCACCGCGCGTCCCTTACAAATCACCACATAATCCGCGCTCTCTCGCTCGCAACAGGAGCTTCTTTCCTCGTCGTCGTCGTCGTCGTCGTCGTCGTCGTCTATTCTCTGTCTTTCCCGTTCGTTCGAGCTACTCTCTCGGGATGAGTGAAATGCACAAGAGTCAAATGAATAATACCGATTGTACTTGTTTTCTTTTTCGTTATGATAAAGTAAGGTAATGTTTGCCAGATTAAAATCCACGACGTTCCCGTTTAATCTTTTAATTATTCCATGAAAATATTGAAGTTTAATTAATAAAGAATTACCGTACGCCTAGAATATTATTAAAAGCCAACTATTAAGGAGAATTAAAAAATATTTTTCTATTTTCTATTCGAACGAAAGCTTGCAAAACATACTCGATACTCTCTTATGAAACAAAACAATGCAGCAAAGAAACAAAACAAAAAAAACAAAAAAAAAAGAAAATTAAATTATTGAAATAATCTAGAAGTGAATTTAATATAGACAACGATTTGAAAGCAAAATGAAATTCCGATTCCTTATTACTCTATCAAAGATTTTTCCCTCATTGTTATATATTACAAAACTTTCATTCAAATATTTCAGACTTAATATTATTATCTTCTTGAGAATTATTTTTATTTTCCATGGACCTGAATTTTTAGATGGAGCGCAATTTATACGTCAATTATTATTCATAAACATACAAACTTATAATACCAAAGGTAATATTAGATATTAAATTTTATCGATTTCCTGACTATCTTGAGCTTGAAAATCGATCGCTTGAAATATCAGTGTGAATATATCGATCATCGCACTTGGCGTCATTAAATATTTTAAAATTCTCATTAAAATTCCGAGAACGATCTTCTACCACATACCGTTCGCAACATATACACACTGAAGGCGTAATATTGTAAATTGTATTTCTTTACGAGAAAATGGGGCACAAATTACCGCCCCGAATTGCACATACGCGTGTATTTATAAAAGAAAATATTATTCGATTGCAATAATGTCGTCATACGTATAAAAATAAAAGCACCCTACAGTACCCATTACATTATGTATGTAGTGCATAGTTATATAGTTTATACGCGTCGCGTATGAAAGACTTCCAGTACTCTGACTGTCTTTTACGATAAAGATTGAAGAAATCGCAGTTTCCAGCTGTAGTAGCACGAATCGTTCTGCTGAATAATATAAAACGCTACATTCCGACACCTAAGAGCTTTAGCCTTTCTTTTGCATAAGTTTGATGGCATTGCGGAGCAATTTTTTCTTATTCAAAAGTACGTATTTTCAGTTATCGCTTATACGAGAAATCTTTTACTAATAGAAAAGTAAATCCTTTCATACTGTTCAAACGTATGCCCGCATATCTCGAACGTGACAATACGAAGTTGAACAAATGAATATTTAAATATCGCGTTTAAATGCGGATTATCATTTTTGTTGTTAACTAAAGTATCGCATGATGGAATAACGTAGTATATAATAACGTTAACACAGGCCACACACACTCTCGCCATTAAGAATAAAGATCCTTTCGTCTCCTTGCTTAATCCATTGGATAAAGAATCGAATGTAGTAATGATAACTAAATTTTCCAAGGTAAAATCATGCCGGGACTTAGCGAACATCCAGACAAAGCGGCGCCTAAAAAACAAAAAGTCACATTAGCCAAGAGCAACGTCTTTTGCCAACTTTTCTCCTCGTCTTGAAACTAATTATGCCGAGATTGTCGAGCCGTTTGTCTTCCTTTCTCCCGTGGCAACGCTTCATTTGACTCGCGTTATTTATCCGCTTGCGAGGAGACTATCGCTTAATAGGTGAGCACAAGAAGGAAGGAAAAACACTAGGCTTCGATTTTCATCGACGTACGGATTCTTCGAAGAGAGAGAGAGAGAGAGAGAGAGCGAGGGGGGGGGGACTGGGAGGTGAGAGTGGACGAGCGGGAGGGAAAAGGGGCGAAAATGTTGCAAGTAGCAATGGAAGGAGGATGCGCGTCTGGTAGGGAGGAAAGGCGTGGGATCGCGGAACTCGTTAGATGAGAAGAAAGTCTTTGAGTTCCGTCCTCTGGGCTGATGGGTGGAGTGGGGGGAAGCAGTAGAAGCGAAAAAATCCATCGCCACCGGACAAAGGTGTAGCGATCAAAGCCAAAAGCGACTTGCGCGCCAAACTTTCCTCATCGTCTCTAAAACTCGAGCTCTTTCTTCTCTCTTTCTCGCTTGGCCTTTGAACTTATACATTCCCGGAGTGATTTTGAATTTTCTTCTTGTTACTCGCCTCGCCTCATCCCTCTTTCCCCGAGCGGACTCCTTTCTTCATTCCCTGATAATGACGCCACTTAGCGAAACAACAATTTGTTCGCGATTTTCATAAAAACAGCCAAACAAGAAACATTAAACAATATTTAAAATTATGTGTTACGATAAGTATTCTTAATGCCAATTTCATTATACGTTCAATAAGAGGTAATAAGAGATCCGTAGTAGCGTGAGTAACTTTCACTACTTGGACTATTTTTACAGCTATTTTTGCCAGGAGAATTACTCACGCATACTTTTGCGCGGTTCGTACCCAAATCATTTTAATGAAAGTACATACCTCCAATTATTTAGCGATTATTCGATTTCGCAGTGAGCGGACCTTACGTATTGTACTATCGAAAACTTGATAGTAAATTCGGCCAATATCAGTGTTATGTTCCTAGTGTGACACAATTTCTCCTATTTCTTATTGGATTGGCAATTTCTCGTATAGTAAAACTTTTTCCATTGCTTATGAATTTCGTGCAAAGTTACAAAATCCTCGTTATATAATATCTCAAAATTTCCTCCCCAATTCTCGATTACACGATACGCGCATATTCCAACGATTAACAATGTATGTCCCGTAACGTCATAAAAGGATCGTGCGCAGTGGAAAAAGTGCCAACCTAACGGAGCTCATATACCTTGGCTATGAATTACCCGGGCATTGCCGATCGGCGTCCCTAAAACTTATCAAAGCACTAAAATGTACTTTACTTACATCATAATTGGTGGCTCTCGTGATTATCCAGGTCCATTTACCCGACCTCGTACGAGCGCCAGAATACAAAATGTGCAGCGTATCACCCTCGTAACGTATCTGGTAATGATTTCAGGTATCCGGACGCAGTCGAAGAACGACTCGGTGAGGTTCGAGGCCGGGCCATTGGCGAACGGAAACGGCGCCTTCTACATCGCGGCCACGTGTGCCTGCGCACTTATCTTGGTCGTCGTGAGTGTCGCCAGTGTCCTCTACATTCGTAACAGCAAGGCGAGATCGCAGCATCCGAGGTGAATAACAGACCGCATTTCCATTAGTCCTCGCCGCCGCGGCAAGACGATCGCGATAAGCGTCTAGTGGGTGCCCTTAGCTTATTTATGGCTACCCGCGGAATTATTATTAAGCACGACCAGCGATTATTCCGGTTTTTCCTTTCCTTCCTGCGAAGCACCAGCGACATCCTCTCTATCACATCAAGATGATGACACGAAGATGCAAATTTTTATGCTGCTTTTACCTAAATAGGACGTTCTAAGCTATCGTCTGTCTTTAATGTTAGGGGAGATGGGAGAAATTAGCGGGGCGAAACGCGAGTTAACGTAATAGGATTATTATCGTTTAATGAGCTTATGAATGAGGGACGAGATTGAAGAGAGACAATGAATTAGACGTTTGAAAAAAATAATTACCCAAGTAGTGATATCATCGATACAACGATAAATATTACTATTGTGCTGGCAGTATTAGTGGCATTGTCAGTGGAACGACATTTGCGAATGCTCGAGTACCGGATTCAACGATTCCGTATAAAGTTTAAGGTATTGTATAACGAGCACGTTTCTAACGGATCGTAATAACATCGTAATAACAAATTATCTTCAAGCTTCTCAGACCTATTGATATGAAATTTTAATAAATATTTTATGCCAATTTATTGAGCGATGAGCGAGAAATGAGTGAGTATTCTTATCGTGTTTATCTTCGTTTGTCTGTCAAATAAGTTTGCAATAAATATCCTTCGTTCGAAGCTTGGACGAAAATTGTTATCAACGGTTGCCTAACATAATTACTAGTTACCTTGTATTTGTCAAGTTTTTATACGAAAGAGCTCGCGCGTTTATTTGAAAAATATCATGTAACATCGTATGACCGTAGCCAATATGGCAAATTGCAAAATCTAATAGACGCGTTGATTATGGCAATGGCGATTTAATGTTTTCCATATCCTGGCAGTAAACCCACTGTACTTAACAGAGCGGCGGGGCGTGGAGAAAGAAAGATACGAATAATTAGATGGTTGATCTGTCAAAAAGATTACATTATTAACACAGGAGAGCTTAAGCTACGAATTATCACGCGACACTTTAACATTACTTAATAGCGATAAAGCGAAACGAGTGGCTGGGCACGACATACACTACTACCATAACGCTGTCGATCCGATCTTGCAAAATTACCGAAAAAAGGTCATTCGAGGAGCACCCAAAAGGATTTTTACGTTCGCTGTTTTTTTACGCTCCTCGCTCCCGAGCGCCTCGCTAAGGGTTCGCTAATTCCGGAATCGCTCGCTGCTCCCCTCCCGAGCCGTTGAATCTCCGTGCCAGCGATCGCAGCAGCGCAAAATCTAATCTCTCTGGAATAAAGCACGAATAATGGCCTCCTGAATCAAGCGAGCATCGAGTGCGCACTCCAGAAGCCAAGAGTCCTTATGCACGAGCGGCTTTTATCCGACATCTTTGGCGCAACGACGACCCCACGTAGGAGCCTAACCAAAAATAGGGTCACGCCCGCGTCAAGGAAAAAGCAAATCTACTTCAAAAGACGATCGGTGGGTTCACGCGCGAGGGTAGTGAAAGAAAAACAAATCGCACGTTGAATGGAATGGGTGGTGTGGGTGGGGTGGGGTGGGGTGGGTGGAGGAAGAAAGGAGACCCCGTCCTTGAGTATCTTTTTCAATAAGCCTAGCGATCGTCGGTCGATCGGTGCGATTTTGGCTTCCTACTCGGTCCTTTCCTCCATCACCGGCCCTCTCGCTCCTTACCCGCTCTCTCTCTCTCTCTCTCTCTCTCTCTATCTATCTATCTATCTATCTATCTATCTATCTCTATCTATCTATCTCTATCTCTATCTCTATTTCCATCCCTCTCATCTTGCTCGCTCACGCTTACTCTTGTTCTCGCTTTCTCTATCTCTTGATATTTTATTACACGGGGTGGTGACGTTTTTCTCAGTTATAAGAACGATCAAGCGAATAGGCAGAGAAAAGACGAGAGTGCGCTTACTTTGCTTGTCCGGAGAAAAACATCCTTATGACGAAACGCTAAGAAAGCTAAAAGAAAAAAGAAAGAGAGTCGATTCACTCGATGAATTGATAGACATAAAACGGATATAGCTTTTTCATATGTCGGTGTGTGTGTGTGTGTGTGTGTGTGTGAGAGAGAGAGAGAGAGAAAATGACGGAGAAGAAGATTTTATTTAAGAGATATATAGGGGTGGATGAGGGAAAGAAATTAACGATGAGAATAAGTAAGAGTAAAGGATAGTGAAAGAGAAATGAAAATTAACAATGATAGCATCTAATGTGTATGCTAATTATTATTAAAATTTAATTGGCAAAATATAATTTTACTTTACTTTTCTGAATGGAGCATTAATAAGGCAGAGATTGTCGTATAGAAAATTAAATAGACATAGAGACATATGAATACCTCGCATAAAACAAAGATAGACACTAACATTACTACGTCACTGCAACGTATTCAATGAGACAAATGTCTTGAAAGCCAATTGCAATCGGTTAATCAAAGTATTCTTTTACAATAAGCTTAACTCTTAAAACTAAGACATTGTGAATTATTTAGTAGGCATTATATAATTATTCTTCGAAATGTCTCTTAACGTATTTAACGCAATAATATAGCAACTTCGTCAGCGACTAATGACATAAATATCATCGATAAATGAATTTAAAAACAAAATAAAGTTTAAAATAAATAAAATCTTATTGTTTGTTTATTAAAATTCAATGGAGCGGCCAATTAAATAACGAACGATAGATTGGAAAATAAATCTTAATAAAAATTCAAACGATACCAGCAAAGGATAAATATATTCACTTTCACGAACAATCGATTGGGAAGGAATGGAATGTATGGAGAATTGAATGCTGGCGTAATGAGCCCAAACCGACAAATAATAAACTTTAATAGTTAAAGTCAAAAGCCATTTAGATTGCGAATTGTAGGCAATGCAATGGAGCACCGATAAAGCTATAGAAATAAGGCGATCTTTCATAAGAAACAAGCTGTGGTCCATCTTCTCTCCGGGGATATATTAGCTCCTCGCGAGCCTCGGCCACCCCCCCCCCTCTCTCTCTCTCTCTCTCTCTCTCCACCCACCCACTCCCCCGCCCCACCCCATAAAAAGAGGGTGCGTCAGTACGTAGTCGTCGCGTCGCTAAGCAGGGACGAGGATTCGAGGATGCCGTCGGTCGGATGAGCAGCGGGAACGAGGAGGCGAAAAGGGAGAGGGAGCGAGCGGAGGGCGTTCGACAAATTATTCCGCACTTTCCAAAGCTACTCGATCGAATATTGTTCGCTCGCTCCCTTACACGACCGATTTTTCCCTCCTTCATTTTTTACGCTTTCTCCTATGTACATACGTGGGCGCGCATCGCTTGTCAAAGGGACGCCGAGGACTTTCCAAATAATTTCGTACCCATCGGCAAACGCATAAAAAAGAGAGTCTGAGAGAACGACAGAGAGAGAGAGAGAGAGAGAGAGAGAGAGAGAGAGAGAAAGTGATGGGCGATGAAATCGAAGAATAATTGGACACGCCGTAGGAATCAAATCTGTTGTGGTCATTATTGGCTGGAAAATGGGGCATCTTGATTTGAAAGTCAGAGAAATTAAATGAGCAGAGTGCACGGAGGGTGAATAATTTGCGACAAACGTTTTTAGAGACAAAAAAAAACTAACTTTTATGTAACTACAACGAAGATCGAAAAAATTTATTTATAAATTTGAATTTGCTCAACTAATTTGCGATTTAAGTTTTTAAATGGCTATCTAAAGTCAATTTAAAAAGACGACGATTCGCCGAATTTACTCCGACGATGTTTTCTCCAACATTTACAGAGAAAATGATCAAGTTAGATGAAATTGTATATTTAAAAGATGTATATGCTGATGACGCGTGAAAGTGCTGGAATTTCAATTTCAAAAATAAATACAATAAGCAATAAAATCTGCATAGTTTGTCGTTCGTGTAAGGGATGGAGTGAGCGAAAAAGAAAATTTTCGATCACAATCTTTACGAAATGTTAAATAATTTGTTGCCTATTCTCGTTACTCCGTCCCACCCAACCACCCCCCCCCCCCCATCCCCATCGCCTCCCCAATCCTACCCGCACCCCCGCCAATTCCACTCATCATCTTATTTTTACATATCTTGATTGTATAATTTCTCAATAATTTCTTTAACGTTGAGTTACTCAAGTACGGCGGCTATTAATTAAAAAAAAAAAAAAAAAAATCTTTTCACAACTCCAATTATTTAAGCTCATCACTGACGAGCGCGATTACCGACAGTTTAAAAGAACAGAAAATCTGAAAAGTAAAAGTGTCATAAGTTCCCGAATTGTTCCGAATCCAAAGATCCCAGGCCTCAGCTCCAAATCACTGCCTCCTTCGACAATGAGAAGCTCAGACGCAGCAACGCATATATAAATAATTAAATAAATAATTGTGTCTGGACCAACAGGAAGAGCCTGACGTGCTGCAGCTACTCAGCCGCGGGTACTGGTGGCCTCGCGGGCAGTTCCGTTCTTGTGAAGATGGACAACCGCCCGGGCAGCGCCAACTCCGGGAGCTACGCGACCATAGCCGACCTCGAGCCCCTCTACGCACGGCCCTGTGGCTCCAGGGCGAGCTACTACGCCGCCAGCCACGTGACACACTTGAGTCAGGTGAGCCAACAACCTAGGCCTCGATGTCCCTTATGGGGCTGATTCCAAATTGGAATCCCATGTACGGGGAGTACGACGAGTGCTTGGCTCTCGTGCGTGGGTGAGCTTTCATATTGGAAATTGAAGGCGACATTTTGAGGTTTAATGTTCGCCTGTTTAAAGTAATGGTTGCTAAGGTACGACTGTAATGACGCATTATGGTAGGCTTTGTGGAATGTAATTCGAGCGACGACGACTCGACTAATTGAGCATTAAATTTCTCAAGTCAAAATGAAGTTTAGCGAATGGCAAGTTCACGGATGCTCGTAAAGATAAATTTAAAAAGATACTTACCACCAACGCACATACGTTCATTAATACCAGCATTTATCTACATAACTATCTATATACGTATGCATACATGTATTTGTATATGTAATTACAATATTCGTATCGCCGGCTAGGCTAAGATAATCTTGCTGATGCTTGTTCCGCAGCTAAATCTTGGCACATTTGTATGCGCGCTCATGAAAGGTAGTATAGGTATATAATAGTAAAGGCATTAAATTAAGAAACTCTAACGCGGAGAATCTCTGCGCTAGGGCGGCTTCTTTGCGCATAGAAGCCTGCTGAAACTCAATTTCCTTTTCGCCTCTTCGACAGAAATTCAAGTAATCGTGTATTAAAGAAAGCGTGTACGCTTTGAGATGAAAAATCCCTCAGCGTCTATTAGCATAAGACTTTATTTTGGCGCTACGGTGTAAATGCTGCGCAACTATCATTCCAAAATTAAATGAAGCTCGCTAGTAGCGAACCGCCCACTCCTAGTCGCAATATAGAGTACATGATAAAATTATCCAGACATCGTAAGAGCCTCGAATTTCGCAACAATGTCGTTAGAGTACGTTGCCTCCAGTTCCATTACTCGGTCGGTGAAATGCTTTGGCAGCAACACTTTCTCAGTTACCGCCGTTCTTTATCAGCACTATATACTACGCACCTTACCTCGCTCCTCCCTTATTATTTTTATTCTTTTTATGCTTTTGCTTTTGTTTATTGTGCTGGAGGACGCGGAGGAGTAGGATCGAGCGGCCGTGTATAAACAATGCTGAGATTTTGATTATCTCTTACTCTTAAGTCTATTTTTGCCAGATAAATGGCACTGGGGAGTTGAAATATAAATACTGCCCGCTGATAGTGTATTAATCATTTGTCAAGAATTGTATTAAGATTTTCAATATTATTCGCTTTTAAGTGACGAGGATGCGAGAGGAAGGACTTTATATATGAAATAAATGAGTAAATTTTTTAATTTACTATAGTTAATCTAATCTTGGGTAGCGTATTGCCACGGCTACGTTAACTCGATAACCTTACACTTTCAGCATCGCGTTCGATGCTCAACATAATCTATTACACGAAAAATCTTGTTATCGAAAATATAATAAATAACGTGTGTGTTGCGTATTAAGAAGAATCGAATAGTTAAAATAAGATAATATTTATTCCTTATTCTCTTACGAATGGCTGTAGAGTACGTGTAATATTATCTTGCCAGTGCCGCTTTCATTTTAGCCAATAATTTCTTATCATTGGGGACACACGATATTCGCAGGAGCTCGTTAATACTTACCTTATTTTTGTAAAAACCTACCATTTCAACCGTATATACGGAAGTCTCTTGAGCCATTGTTGGATTTCAGCCAATGTCTCTCCTCTCCTACCGCTCCTTAAAAATTCGGCGTGAATTTTTAACGCCCGAAATTTCCAGCGCGATAAAAGACGCGTCACTTACTACTCGGATTTAAGAAAATCACGGGGAACCTAATATTCCTCTATTTCTACTTTCACCCAACTACGCTCGCTCGCTCGCTCGTGACAGAGAGGAGAGAGGCGACGGAAGTGACGGACGCGCACCGTTGGGTATCGCTTTCTACATGTACAGCGATAAAAACCAGTGCGAAATAACGTGAGTTTGGTGAAAGTGCGCTGTTGTGGTGGTGGTATTTTGTGGTGGATTTGCGGTGGATTTCCGGTGGGTCGGGCGGGGGGGGGGGAAAGCTGAGATTGTTAATACAAAAAAAGTAAACAGCTGCAACGATGTTAAGTATAATGTGAATAAGTCTGAAAGAACTTATTGTCCTATCGACCGAGGGGTAACTCGCACTTTTTTTTTTTACGATCGAATTAGATTTAAAAGATACTTTTTGAGCTAAAAATTGACGACTTAGAGGTTAATCGCACTGTATTAAAACATATTGTGTAGCCGTTTAATGGTTCGTCCTTTATTTCCAATTTGATTGTTTTTTTATTTTCTTTTCTTTCTTTTTTTTTTTTTTTTTTTTATCACACAATTTGTAAATATAACATTCCCGAAACAACATCGCAAGCTCCACTATATCTCAATATAATTCGTATTTCTATAACTCAGAGTTATAATAATAGTTTCTTCTAAAATTAATATTTAGTAAATGGATATATTAATATTGTCTATCCAATTTATTGGATAATATTTCAATAATATTTCCATTATCTTCTTTTCCTCCTCTCCACTTCTAGTCATATCTCAGATTAAATATTAAAAAGCTCGGCATATGCTTAGCTAAGCTCTCCTTGTAAATTTTCATAAACATAATCTTAGCATACATTAATTGAGACTGCTTATGCATAACCCTATCAATCTATGTTTATTATTTTTATTTATATCATCATTATATTTGTTTTATCTTTAAAAACAAAAACAAAATAAAAAAAAAAACGAAAACATAATTTTTCGATTAGAGATAAAAGCCAATGATTTAATGGCCAGAATTGAAGCAACAAATGATGCAGTGACATTTATACACTCGATAGCCTATCGATTTTCTAATTCAATTAATTATTAATAACGAGGAACATTCATGAACATTCATCTATAATTACGGATATATCTACTTGGCGACTGCGTAACTTTCACTTTGCCTATCAATCCAACCGAGAATCATAAAGCAGACTCATAAATCTGCAGTGGAGCTTAAACTGGCCGTAAATTGCGTAACCTAGGCGAAACTGAATTACATAGTATTCGTAAATAGTAGCGGACTTTTCCAAAAATTTCAACACAAAATTTCAGTAAAAAGTTGGAGAATACCGGCAAAAAAAAAAAAAAAAAAAAGAATGAAAATAAGAGAAAAACAATTAAACGAGAAAACTGCAGCCCCGACATCCGGGGTCAAGCTTGCGGGGCCACGGAGACGTCGAGCGGCCAGGAAGAAAGAATATGGAATAGTAAGTTTAAAAGGCCGCACAAGAGCGGCTGAAAGCCATCCTTGAATAAAAGGGGGCCGGAGTTGTCATTGGGAAGTGGCTTGGCCGGCCGCAGACTCGATAAAGTTTTGTCGGAGCGAGCGCGACTCGAACGAACACTCCCTCGAAAGCTGAGCGACTCCTCGAGGAGGAGACGAGGGTCGCGGGCGGAAACGGCGTTTCGTCTCTGCAGTTGGATTGCTTAAGTGGGAACGCTTGGTGAAAGTTTAGGCTGACTTTAAGAATTGTGCGCCGACGATTAGGATCGATTGACATGGCAAATGCAGATCTCTCGACGTTGGCCGATCTTGCCGAGTTGTTATTTCGATGAATTTGATTAAGTGAAAGTCATGGTGACGAGGTGCACATCGTTTGTTTATTTAATTGACTTCTTTCTTTCATCTCTCCTCTAGAATCTCTCGGTAGAATAGCGTTTATTTTACGAGACTCGTACGGTTGATTAATTATGCCATTGTATCGATCAAGAAATTTAAAGTATTGCACGATAATGAGAAATCATTTTTAATTGTCATTTTGCATAATTAAATGGGAATTAAATGGGAAAAAAAATGGAAGAAAAACATATAATCAAATCGTTAGTGAAGTAAAAAATAATTATTTCCTTAATTTAATTAATAGTCAAAACTTTTGAGTGTGAATGGGAACGAAGCTGACCTAACATTAAAATAAAAAGGATATGATACGTTTTGCACGTACTAAATTAATATTCAAATATCCCGTGAAATATAATGAAATACATATCTTCAATAAATAAATTCTTCGTATTAATTATGTAATGCGTAGCTCTGGATAGATGATTATTTGTTTTTATTTTAACAAGAAAATCTTTAATTAATCTAAAATGGACTTGATACAATTTGATAACGGTTAATTAATTTGCTTTTCACTAATAAATACTGATAACACATAATGTCTAAAATTCGCTACGTTAAATTATATTCTATAATGAACTACGAACTCTAAAAATAATATTTCATAACGCTAAAAACATTATTGGTTAGGAAGCCTGTTGCACATATTTGTAGAATTAAAATTAATTGTTGTATTATAATTTCCCTATATAAAAGAAAAGAAAGAAAAAAAAAGATGAAAAACTTGTTAAATACTAAATCTGGCTTTAGGATCTAACCGTATCCGCTTCCTTCTCTAAAAAGTAATAAAATTTCTAAAGAAATTCCTTCCGAACAATATGCCGTTGCCAAAGTTCGATATAACAAATATTGAATTGAAACTTTGATGATTAAGTTTAGAATAAAATTTGTTAATTTTATCAATTATATATATATATATATATATATATGTATATACTTTTTTTTTATTTTTTATTACTATATACATCGTACTATATCAATTTTGTGTGTGCGTTTGTGTTTGTGTGTGTAATCTTGCAATATATAGCTGTAGGTAGATAATTATTTGTTTCAAATTTAAATGAAACTTCGTAATCAAACTCAAATAGCTTCACATAGTTTGATAACATTAAATTAATTTAGTTATAATAAGCTTTGACCATTATGTTGTAAAGAACTTTATTAGTATGATCGATTTGGTGTGTGCGTGTGTGCGTGTGTGCGTGTGTGCGTGTGTGTGTGTGTGTGTGTGTGTGTGTTTGTTTGTTTGTTTGTTTGTATATATATATATATATATATATATAGATAGGTAATTGCGTAAAATATAATACGTAAAAATTGAGATTGCAAAATTGTCGAAGAAAA